CTCAGAGCTCATTTCTTAGCATAGCCCTGTGTTGTTTCAGTCTGACCTTTGGCTGACAGACCAAACATTAAATCTACTGGGAGACACGGGTGCCGTCCAAACATGAGGTAGTGGGGTGAGAAGCCTGTTGCCTCATGCCTGGTGCAGTTGTATGCATGCACAACCAGGGGTAAGTGGTCTTTCCAGTTGCTCTTTTCTGTTTCTCCCAGGGTCCTCAACATTTGGAGCAGTGTTCTATTGAACCTCTCAGCTGGGTTTCCTTGGGGGTGGTATGGGGTTGTCCTCGAATGAGCAACTCCAGCCAGATGCCTCAGGGTCTTGAACAGGTCATTTTCGAACTCTCTGCCTTGGTCGTGGTGCAACCTGGCCGGGTAGCCGAATCTTGGAATGAAGTCATTATAGATTTTTTCAGCAGCTGTTCTGCCAGATTTATTTTTTGTTGCGTAGACTTGAGCAAATCTGGTAAAATGGTCAATAACTACTAAAATGTACTCGTAGCCCCCTTTGCTAGTTTCCAGGTACATATAGTCTATAGACACAAGCTCAAGTGGTGCAGATGAAGTGATGCTGCCCATTGGTGCTCTGACGTGTGTCACAGGTTTCTTTTGTTTGATACAGGGGCACTTTCTGGTTACATAGGTTTCAATGTCCTTTTTCATGAAAGGCCAGTAGAAACGGTCTCGAGCCAGGTGGATGACCCTCTCAGCCCCAACATGTCCCATGTCGTCATGGAGATGCTTTAGTACCAGGGGGTGGTATCGTGATGGTAAGACGAGCTGCTGCCGCTGACTGGCTGTCCAGTACAACAGTTGATTTTCCATGTGCAGTTTTCCCCACTTGTGCATGAGCTTTCTGAGCGTACCACTGGCTCTCTTCCTGTCCTCATTGGTCAATACTGCCTTTGCCTCTTTAAGTTTGATAAGCTCACCGATTGCATGGTCCTCCCTTTGGGCATTGACTAGCTCACTGTGGTCAATGGTAAGGGGTGACACATTCACAGGTGACTCTTTTGGGTCAATCCTGACACCGTCTGCAGAGACCAGCCTCCCAACATACCTGACCTCTTTCTGAAACAGCTCACACTTTGTTGGTCTAAGCTTGACACCATGGGACTGCAAGGCTCTCAGGACTTGACGTACTCCCTCAACATGGCTAGTGAAGGAGTCGGAGTAGCAGAGGATGTCATCGAGGTAAGGGATACAGCAGTTGTCACGCAGAGAGTCCAACATTTCCTCCATGCTGCGCTGAAAAGCAGCAGGGGCGTTGGAGAGTCCAAAAGGTATCCTCACCCACTCATACAGCCCCCAAGGGGTGATGAACGCCGTCATGTGTCTGGATCCTTCAGCAATGTAGCCCTGGTGGTAGGCCTTGCCTTGGTCTAAAATGCTGAACCAGCTTTGGCCTTTTAGGGTGTCGATTAGTTCCTGGATACGAGGCAATGGGTGACGGTCTGGTACTGTTTTCTGGTTTAACATTCTATAATCGATGCATAATCTTAGGGACCCATCCTTTTTCCTGACGCAGACTACAGGAGCTGAGTACGGAGATTTGGACTTAACTATCCACCCTTTTACAAGCAGGTCTTGGATGTACTCTTTAACCTCTTTATAAAGGGGCTTGGGCACTGCACTGTATGTGCGCTGAACTGGGATGTTGTCCTTTAAGTTGATGGACATTTGCAGGCTGGGAATGCAACTTATGTCCCCATCATCTTTAGCAAAGGCTGCCGATTCCTCGTGTAACATCTGTTCCACCTTCATCTGTTGCTCATCACTCAGGTGGCTGACATCCACAGGTGGGTGCCACAGTGCAGAAGTGGGTTTGTCACTGTTAGAGTGTGGTGATGTGGAAGAACTGGCTATATTTGCCTGGGCTTGATTGTCCTTGCTGCTTGGGTTGTCTGTCTCTATCACTCTATCAATGGTTTCGATGTTGCCTAGAACAGTACAGCTGGGCAGAGTCACAGCACTTCTGGAATGGTTTGACACAGGCACCTTTACGAAAGGTCTCTCTGTCTGTTGGATCGCCATTAGTCCTTCTCCAACACTCAGCTGTGCCAGTGGTGTAGCTTCTAGATTGGGTTCGAAAAGCACAAGTGAGTCGGATTCACTAATATCTACTGGTACCCTGCACTTAATATAAGCTACCTGGCCAGGATAAATAGTGACTTCTTTCCTGCCTATCTTTACTGCAGCACTCTGTTGTTCCTGTTTTTGCTCAGTCTTTATGAAACTCACCATAGCTTCTGCCATAGCACTGTCAGTCTCCAAAGCACCAGTAAGCAAGTTGACAAGGATAGATATCACTTTGGGTCTACTTTCATGACTCCTAAAGAGTTCCTGGATGACATTAAAACCAACTATTGGTCTGTCTATTTTTATTCGACTCACTAGGAAAGGCACTCGAATAGATAAGTCTGGATCATCGTTTCCCTGCAGGTTTACTACCACTTCAATCCATCCTTCATAAGGTACTGCATCTCCTGTGACAGCCGTCACGTAGAGATCATCCTCCATGAGTTCACTGAGGGGTCTAATATCTTGTCCAGGTAAGTATCTGTCTTTCCAAGCACTGTCTATTATGCTCACATTGGCCCCAGAGTCTAAAAGAGCGGTTATGGGGTAACCGTTCATGCTACCGCTCAATAGCGACTTTCGGCCAATTAGCGGAGCTATCTTTTTGATTGGGTGTTGTTCGTTATTTTTCTGCGTGTTGATAGGTGTACGACCAGTGCTTTGTCTTGCTGCTGTAACCTCCTGGGGGTGAGACTTGTCCTTTGGGTCGGTCAGTGGTCGTCCCGTTGCCCTGACCGGCGCCCGTTTCCCGCCTGCTTCTGTCTTTTCAAGCAGCCTATAGCACGATGACCCTCCTCCCCACAGAAAAAGCAGTGGCTACAGTTTGGTTGAGCCTGAGCTAGGCATTGTGGGCACCCATACGGTCTCCTGGTCTTCTTCTCTGGTCTGGTTTTGTCAGAGCAACACTGGTGAGTGGTTTGATGTAGCCCCTCAGGCACCTGGGTCGTTGTTGATAGCTGTTTCAGTGTTTCCATTGCCTGTGTTAAAGCCTCAACCTGAGCACTCAATCTCTGGATGACATTATCCTTACTTTTGATTTGAGTCTCTCCCACACTGCTGAGTATTTCTTCAGGTTCAGCGAGTATGCTGTGTGCTTGAGTCAACTTGCGGTTGGAACTGCGTCGCAGTCTGCGCTTTCTTTCACTTTCTTCCATTGTAGTCTTGATAACCTGCCTTAACAGAGGCAGTGGTTTCAGCTCCCGTCTGACATCCTCATGTCTCTCTCCCATGCCTTGATAGACTGCATTCAAAAACACACCCTGCAGTGTAGACGCATCATACTTAATAAGTGCATTTGCCTGCCTGGAGGTGAACATTATTTTTTGTTTCAGTCCTATCATGCGGTATAGGAATTGCTGTGGAGCTTCATTTTCATGCTGTCTAGCACACATCAATTCCTGGAAGAGCTCTATGCTGCTCTTCTCGCCAAGGTGGGACTGCAGGAAACTCTTCAGCTCCGTGACTGTAAGATCTTCCTTGTTTGTCAGCATGTCTTTAAAGTTTCCACCCTTTATTATGCGTAACACCCCTCTAATGATCTCGTCGTCAGTGTGTTGCTCTCTGCAGCCTTCCTCAATCTGTTTACATAAGCTGTTAAAGCTAATGTCTGATGAAGTGTCAGTTATCTGCCCTCCATGAATCTTAAACTCCCTCCTATGCAGAAGTGAAAGATCTTTAAGGGAAATCATGCTCTCTCGGGTGGTATTAGAGAGTCCTTCTGTAGATGTATGTGGTGAGTTAGGTGTATGCTGCTCACTGGGTTGGCTAGAGTGAGGTTGCGGTGTATCTGAACTAGGTGTGGTGACACCGTGTTGAAGTTTGTTTTGCACCTCCTTTAAGCCCCTTAACAGTTTCTGTATGTCCGTGTCATGAATGCCAGTCTCAGTTGGATTGTCTAATGGCTCAAGTGGTTGGTTAGCGTTAACAGCAGCAGATAACATCAGAGGTGACTTAACAGAAGTATCAATTTCACCCTCTTTGGAACACACTGTACCCCTGCTACGGTTTGCAATAATCAAATCAACAGTATCTTGTAGACACAACAACATTGACATTCCCTCATCTTCTAGGTTTAGTAGAGTCACACTGTTCATATTCGCAGCAATATACTTAACACAGCCCTCCTCGTCGTCCCTGTTTAGCTCTGATGAGTCAAGTCCTTCCACTGGATCGAGGTGTGTGGCAACTTCATACGCTTCATCTGCTGTTAACTGTTGAAGTATTTTCTTGATGGACCAGCTTAGTCTCTTCCTCTCGTTGTCAGCCATCCTGTGTGTTGTGGGCAACTGTGGCAAACAGTTCTGCACTCCTAGGCGTAGATCCCCTTTAACCTGGTCTCTCTACCTCTTGAGTCGCTAACTGGAAGCACCTTCACTCCGGCAACACGTCGTCAGTCCGGTCCTTAGGTCCAATATCTCTGGATCAGCATATGGTCGTCTCAAACGATGCTGATCGAGCCCCCAATAATCTGTAGCAGGCCCCGCTATGCAGGGCGCGATGACAGATTATATTCCTGTAGAACAGGAGAAATTATGAGCAGAGAATGCCTTTTGCTGCTCGTTTGGCGGGTCTTGCCAGAATTTATTCACAAACACTTGATAAGGTTTTTATTTGATGCATATTCATGTGCTCACAATACCACAGATATTACAAATGATATGCTTTTTTTAAATGATTATCAGTGAGCATTGAGGTCTGTGTGAAAGCAGAGTCGACACAAGGATACATTTGTGAGTTTTTTATTTGTATTTTAAGCTCAACAAACTACAAACTTATCCAGTATCTGATCCTGGTAAAATAATACGATGAAATGGCAATATACCCGATGTTATTGGGGTTGTTTGCCCAGATATAGACGTTAATGTTTTATCAGCAGCTTCAGTGGAGATATGACAATGACCAACTGAAGTCCTCCTCCAACAGAGCAACATGAATATGTAGGACACAGACCAAATAAAACAGATAAAACATATGGAATAGTGCAAGAGAAGAGATAATATCGGTGGAAACAACTAATATTCTGAGGAGAAATCTGCAAAATGTGAAGTCTGAAATAAAAATAAAGCTGTAAGAGCACTTCTGCTTAGTGCTGCTAAATCATAACTTATTTTAAATTGACTTATGAGGTTTATTTTAGTAACTGTGGTCAGTTTTCAATCTAAAAACTGCATTTCCTAAAAAACGCGATTTTGTGTATGTCCCTCTTCGGCCCCCGTAGGATGGGCGATCAGGTGTCTAAGCTGAAGCACTTGAGTTCATCAGACATGGAGGAGCAGAGATTCTTCCAGAACCAGAACCAGGACTACGTGGACCAGGCAGGGTCTGGTTCTGGATCCGAGGAGAGAGCCAACGAGCCGCTGGACGAGGAGGGCAAGGTGAGGAGCTCCGGAGCCGCTTTATAACACCTTATATCGGGGTTAACGACGAGCTAACAGGCTAAGGAGCTAACACCATGCTAACAGGCTAACAGCTGGGCTAGCTCAGGTTTGTTATGGTTTCAGAATCCTTCATTAGTCCTGCAGAGGGGACAGTGTTACAGCCACGTGAAGACCACTGTTAGATAAAGAGCATGCATATAGTATTTCAAATAGTAGTACAGAATAGAAGCAGTTAGAGCAGTTATTGCTTCATGTCTGTAACTTGTTTATGTTCCTCAGGTGAGCGCTTCCTTCCAGAAGAAGGTCCAGAGTAAGATTAAAGACCTGTGGCAGCAGATGGAGGAAGGTCTGAAGACAGCCGACCCTCACGACTTCTCCACCTACACCGGCTGGACAGGTGAGTCAGCACGATACACCTGTGAACAAACCTTTGTTATAAGAAGTTTGATGAACAGTTCTTTCTCAAAATAAAAGCCCCAGGAATCAACAATATGGCGACTGTTATCAAAACCGACTAAGCATTGGACATTTTACATTAATTATGTGACCGCCTATGTTTCCTGTAGTTATTGAATTGCTCTTTTTACTGCACATTTACATGACAACACAACAACATTTGGGCCCAGGTGGTCGTCCTATCTATATAGCGCTTTTCTAGAAACTCAAAGACACTATAAGACAATAAGCAAAACTCACACCCTACAAAGAACAGTTGGGTGTTCAGATACCCCGCTAGAGAACATTTCTTCCCCCTGGCCTTCCTGTAGAGTCATACAACCCTTGGTGAACACATCTGTTATCACACATACATTGATATGCCATTCCCAGGATACAGCAGTTACATTTCATTAGGATTACGCTGTAATAAGCTTTGATACCATCATTGCCATATTGCCACATTGCCACATTGTGTCCAGGCATCGCCCTGCTGTACCTGTTATGTGACCCTCTATGTTTCTTGTAGTTATTTAACTGTAAGTCCTAATATAAAGTCTCTAATCCCTGAGTTGTGTCTATAAGTAAATAAAATAAAATAGAATATAATTGAAATAGTGCAGAATAGTCTATATACAAGTAATTGGAATATTGATATTTATGAGTTGCAAACAGATGAATGTTATGGATGTTCTTTCAAAAGTTCAGGTGTTTATGTGACCGTCTATGTTTATTATTATTATTATTATTATTATTATTATTATTATTATCTTATCTTAGACTGTAAATACTAATCTAACCCCTGAGTGTTGTCTGCAGGCATCGCCCTGCTGTACCTGCAGCTGCACCGCTGCTCCCAGGAATCCTCCCACCTGCAGAGGGCGCTGGACTACGTGAAGCGAACCCTCCGGATCCTGAACGGGCGTAAGGTCTCCTTCCTGTGTGGAGACGCAGGCCCTCTGGCTGTGGGAGCTGTGGTTCATCACAAGCTGAGGAACACTGAGGAGAGCCAGGACTGCCTGAACAGGTGAGAGGACACCTGGGGTTAAAGGCTCCGATTGTGCTGTTTTTAGGCATATATTACAGGTCTCAGATATATAAACATATTTCAAAAACAAACTGAAGTGTTTTGCTCAAAATACCAAACAGATCATCACAGATCAGTTCCTTTTGATTTCCTGCTTCTTCACACACACTCTCTCCAGTACAGGTTAGCTCTGAGTGTTAGCATGCTAATGTAAACACAGACCATATTACTTACAGAACACTCTGGGTGTTTCTCAATCGCGAGTACGCTTGCTTGGTAGCACATGTCTGCCGAGCATCTTGCTTCAGAAGCGAGTCAAGAATACTTCCTGACATTTGGAAAACAAAGAGTGGAACAGGCTAGCAAGTGTGCAGGTGTGCGTCATGAGAGGCCCCGCCTAACATCTTCCGCCACAGATTTGGGGAAATTGGTCCGTGCGCAAAGCATTGTGGGGATTTTAAGACCGCGGAGTCTACTCATGTGCAGCCTCGATATTTCTCCAAACGGAGTACGCCGGGCTCGGTAGATTTCCAAGTATGCTGGAGATTGGAACAGTACTTCGGCGGCACTCGATGACGTAGTATGCTTGAAATAGTGGCTCTGAAGCAGCTTTACTCGCGATTGAGAAACACCCATTGTTTCTGACAGCAACGTTTCTGATTGGCCCGTGGGTGTAAAGCCCGCCCACATTTTAGTGTGTGTGTGTGTGTGTGTGTGTGTGTGTGTGTGTGTGTGTGTGTGTGTGTGTGTGTGTGTGTGTGTGTGTGTGTGTGTGTGTGTGTGTGTGTGTGTGTGTGTGTGTGTGTGTGTGTGTGTGTGTGTGTGTGTGTGTGTGTGTGTGTGTGTTCCTCCAGAGTTCAGTCCTCAGTGACTCTGACCTCTCTGATGAACTCCTGTACGGTCGCGCTGGCTTCCTGACGTGCAAAAGTGCATTTTGCATGATAGGTCCCCTTTAAGGTCAAAATGTTGTTATTTGATCTCTTAATATAGATTGTGTTAAAAGCAGTCTGGATGCTAGAAGGCCAGTGTGCTGCGCTTCACAGTATTAAGGACGACGAGAAGTCAAAGCATGAACAAGCATGGGCTCAAAGTAGACGTCTCACTCAGATCTCTCCTACACAGCGCACAGGATGACAGGAGGCACACAATCAGACTAGCTTCAACATCAAGTCAGCATCTCACATGTTTATCAACTTTTCACATCTATATGCATGTTCTCACCTGTCTCTCTCTCACCTGTCTCTCTCTCACCTGTCTCTCTCTCACCTGTCTGTCTCTCACCTGTCTCTCTCTCTCTGTCTCTCTCTCACCTGTCTCTCACCTGTCTCTCACCTGTTTGTCTCTCACCTGTCTCTCTCTCACCTGTTTGTCTCTCACCTGTCTCTCTCTCACCTGTCTCTCTCTCACCTGTCTGTCTCTCACCTGTCTCTCACCTGTCTCTCTCTCACCTGTCTGTCTCTCACCTGTCTGTCTCTCACCTGTCTGTCTCTCACTTGTCTGTCTATCACCTGTCTCTCTCTCACCTGTCTCTCGCCTGTCTCTCTCTCACCTGTCTCTCTCCTGTCTCTCTCTCACCTGTCTGTCTCTCACCTGTCTCTCTCACCTGTCTGTCTCTCACCTTTCTGTCTCTCACCTGTCTGTCTCTCACCTGTCTCTCTCCACCTGTTCTGTCTCTCCACCTGTGTCTCGTCACCTTGTCTCTCTCTCACCTGTCTGTCTCTCACCTGTCTCTCTCTCACCCTCTCTCTCTCACCTGTCTGTCTCTCACCTGTCTGTCTCTCTCTCTGTCTCCTCTCACCTGTCTCTCTCTCACCTGTCTGTCTCTCACCTGTCTCTCTCTCACCTGTCTCTCACCTGTCTCTCACCTGTTTGTCTCTCACCTGTCTCTCTCTCACCTGTTTGTCTCTCACCTGTCTCTCTCTCACCTGTCTCTCTCTCACCTGTCTGTCTCTCACCTGTCTCTCACCTGTCTCTCTCTCACCTGTCTGTCTCTCACTTGTCTGTCTCTCACCTGTCTGTCTCTCACTTGTCTGTCTATCACCTGTCTCTCTCTCACCTGTCTCTCGCCTGTCTCTCTCTCTCTCCTCCTGTCTCTCTCTCACCTGTCTGTCTCTCACCTGTCTCTCTCACCTGTCTGTCTCTCACCTTTCTGTCTCTCACCTGTCTGTCTCTCACCTGTCTCTCTCACCTGTCTGTCTCTCACCTGTGTCTCTCACCTGTCTCTCTCTCACCTGTCTGTCTCTCACCTGTCTCTCTCTCACCTCTCTCTCTCTCACCTGTCTGTCTCTCTCACCTGTCTGTCTCTCACCTGTCTCTCTCTCACCTGTCTCTCTCTCACCTGTCTGTCTCTCACCTGTCTGTCTCTCACCTGTCTCTCACCTGTCTCTCACCTGTCTCTCTCTCACCTGTCTCTCTCTCACCTGTTTGTCTCTCACCTGTCTCTCTCTCACCTGTCTCTCTCTCACCTGTCTGTCTCTCACCTGTCTCTCACCTGTCTCTCTCTCACCTGTCTGTCTCTCACTTGTCTGTCTCTCACCTGTCTGTCTCTCACTTGTCTGTCTATCACCTGTCTCTCTCTCACCTGTCTCTCGCCTGTCTCTCTCTCACCTGTCTCTCTCCTGTCTCTCTCTCACCTGTCTGTCTCTCACCTGTCTCTCTCTCACCTGTCTGTCTCTCACCTTTCTGTCTCTCACCTGTCTGTCTCTCACCTGTCTCTCTCACCTGTCTGTCTCTCACCTGTGTCTCTCACCTGTCTCTCTCTCACCTGTCTGTCTCTCACCTGTCTCTCTCTCACCTCTCTCTCTCTCACCTGTCTGTCTCTCACCTGTCTGTCTCTCACCTGTCTCTCTCTCACCTGTCTGTCTCTCACCTGTCTGTCTCTCACCTGTCTCTCACCTGTCTCTCACCTGTCTCTCTCTCACCTGTCTCTCTCACCTGTCTGTCTCTCACCTGTGTCTCTCACCTGTCTCTCTCTCACCTGTCTGTCTCTCACCTGTCTCTCTCTCACCTCTCTCTCACCTCTCTCTCTCTCACCTGTCTGTCTCTCCGTCTGTCTCTCACCTGTCTGTCTCTCACCTGTCTCTCTCTCATCTGTCTCTCACCTGTCTG